CAAATTCATTAATAATTCTTCAAATAGTAACAATGCAATGATCTACAAATTATTAAATTAATAATTGTTCATTTACTTATCTAATTACTTAATTATTTGAAAAAAAAAAAAAAAAAATTGGAAACACAATGATTGAAGGATTTCATTGAATGAAATAAAAATTTCCATCAAATATTAAACAAATACTACTATTAATTATTACCTACTGCTACTATTGCTATTACTTACTACTACTACTACTACTATTATATACTAATACTCGTATTACTTACTACTACTATAAGTTACTATTACTGCTATAACTGCCACTTTGTTGTTTGTTATTAGTGTCTTTCTTAAATTTTTAATAAATCGCCCTCATAAAGCATTTTGTTTACACTAAATTTTGAAATGTATTGATTTGTTCTTTGATCTCCTTATTGATGTTGTTATTGTTGTTGTTGTTATCCATCAATCGTCTCATGTTAATATTTTCTGATGCAATCTTTTCATTTTATTTTTCTCTATTATTTCTGATAAATTAGAATATGTAAATTATTTTAATTTCTGTAAAAATTTATAAAAATATTCACAAATGATTATGTTTATGCTTTTCTATTAAAAAGTTAAAAAAAGAAAAAAAAATTTTTAAAAAAAGTAAATTATTGATACTAGTTTTGCTTTCATTTTTAACCCAATTATTGATTCAATTTGAAAAATAAAATGAAATCTTTTGAATTTAGAATAATTTGTAAAATCCAAACCTTCATATTTGATCGAATTTCTTTTTAATTAATTTCTTTTTTTCAAATTAACTGTAATTTTTTAGCAATCGATTGTTTTGTATTGGAATAAATTGGGTTAAACAATTTCGATATTTTATTTCTACGGTAAGTGATAAAATTATTTAATTAGTTCTTTTTTTTTTTAAATTTTTTGGTTTATTTTGTTTGAATTAAAAAAATCGTATATGATTGGATGAAGTTTCATTTACACTTCGAAATTTTCTTATTTTCTTGTAAGTTTTAAAATTAATAATAATATGTAAATTTTTGTTTACTTTTTTTTTTTGCAAAACTTTTTCATTTTGTTCTAGTTTTTTTAACAAACAAATCAAAATATTTGCAACAAATCTGACTTAGAACAAAAAAAAAAAAAAAAAAAAACAGCGAAAAAAAATTAAATAAAAGATGATTGCAAAAATAATTCATCAATTTTTTGTTTTTTTTAACTTGTAAAATTTCATCTCAAATAAAGTTAATTATTTTGTTCAAAAAAGACAAAAAAAAAAAGAGGCAAATTAAAAAAGAAAGTAAAACAAATAACGAGTTATTAAATTACTCGTTAAATTTTTAATTGTTTCAAATTTTAAAAGAAACAATTCAATTTAGCTATTAGGTTTAATTATTAATTAGCACTAATTATATAAATTTATCGATATCAGATGACAATTATTACATACAATCTTTCTTTTTTTTCCTCTTTTCCTTCTTCTCCTTTGCATCATCCATCATTCATTTCCCTTTTTAATTTGAAAAATGTTTTTCAAACTAAAAAAAAAAAAAAGATGAAATATGAATGCATTTGAACGAACATTTTCCCTCTTTCATATATATATATTTGTTTATTTATTTTTTTTTTTTTTTTTTAATGTATTTATTTATTCATATAACTTTCGATTTGATTTGCCCGCATTTTGCCCACCAAAATAACTAACAACAGCAGTTGAGCAGTATTAGCTAAAATTTTCTGAAATATCTATAACCAATGTTTTTCTCCTCTTACATTCATTGTTGTGTTTGTCGAAAATCAAAGCAATGATGGTACTGATATAATGATTGATGATACTAATGATAATGATAACTAATGGATACAGATAATAATGATAATAACAATAGTGATGATAACGATGATGATCTGTTATAATATGATATGATAATAGAACTGATAATGCAGATATAGAATTTTTGTTAAATGTGTAACAGAGACAAAGTTGCTATTATGCTAGTAAATTGAAAGTAAGCTGATAAACAATTTTTATTAATGAAAGGATGGAAAAAAAAATTTTTTTTTTTTTGCACAGAATAAAACTTATTTGTAAGAATTCTTTTACTAACAGTTGTTCAGAAATACTTTAACATTAACATACTTAGTATCTTTTTACAACTTTTCCTAATCAACATTTTTTATTATGATATTATGAAGTGTAAAAATTTTTAACAAAAGGAAAAAAAAAAGCTAGCTAATTGTTGAAATTTTGGAAAATTTATTAATTGAAAAATAATAAACTTGTTTTTTTTTTTCCTGTTTTGCTGTTTATTATACTTTATGCTAATCGTTTATTGCAATATTTAGAGCATTTAAATTATAAATTTTACTAATATGAATTTTGAACAGTTATGATTAAATTTTCCGGTTTCTTGAAATTATCAAAAAAAAAAAAAAAAATGGTGATAATAAATAAATAAATGATTAAATGGGACATGTGACGATGATGCGATCCAATGATTATTTAAATATACATACTTTTTTCAGGTTTCTATACATTTTTTGCAAAAAAATCATCTAAATTACGGTATGGTTTTTCAAAATTCAAATTGTATTATTATTATTACCTCGTTGCTATATTAGAAATGCCATTTCAGGTTATTTGAAAGAAAAAAAAAAAAAAACTTGATATTAAAAAAATGAAAGATTGAATTTAAACCTGAAATTATTTCACAAAATATTGTGAAATTATTCCTAAAAATTCAGAAAAAAAAAAGAGAAAAAAAAGAGGAAAGAAAACGAAAACCCATACAATATGAGTATTCATAAATTGTATAATAAAATTACAGAAAATTTGATCAAATAAGAGTTTTAGTTTTTCAAAATTTTAAAATCTTTGAGATATATTTCACTAATTTCTTTTAAAAAAATTTTTCAAAAATTACATTTAAACATGTTATTTTCTTTTCGTTTAATTTGAAAATATTTGTCTTTTTTTTTTTTTTTTTTTTTGTTTTTCTTTTTTTTTTCATCCTTGTTTTTCCTTTTTTTTTTTGCTTCTTTTTAAAAAAAAAAAAAAATTTTTTTAACTTTATGTTATTAGTACAAAGCATAAATAAACATTTGCAGCATTTGTAGCAAAATGAAAAATATTACCATTTGGTAGATAAGACTATTATTTCATTTTAAAAAAGATAAAACAAAAGATAACAAAATTTATTCCACGTAAGACTTTTCACGTAAATACGCAATGATAATTTTATGCGTTACGTTTGATAACGTAAATATGTGCGCTATTGCTTTTACGATGGCAACGTACTTCTTTGCATCGCCATACAGAATGATGAAAACTATGGAATGTAAAGAAGTATGTAGTCCGTGAAGCTTTCATTTCACGCCATTCACTTTTCCGTTATCTTTTATCATTTATCGTTAACTTATGATTGATTAGTGATATTATCAAAATAAATTGAATTACTTTATTATCTTTCGTATCGTTAATATAAACTACATAAACTGATGAACTATCTCAGATCATTAATACAAATTAGGTAAACTGATCATACGCATTATTAATATGAATTACGTAAATTCATGATTCTATCGCACCATTAAATAAAAATGAATTCATGAACTTTTCTATAATAGAGAATTTATAAATGATTGTTGTATTTTTCATATTATTATATATTTGTTTAAAAAAAAAAAAAAAAAAAAAAACAGAACCATTAAAATGGTAATTTAACCAAAATTTATTCTTTTTTAAAATTGATGATTTTTTTTGACTGACATCAATAAGCTCTCAAATTTTATTACACATAAATTCTTTTACAATTTAAACGCGAAAGAAAATTTTGCAATTTTCAAAAGTTATACATTGTAACAATACGATTAATAGCGATAATAGTATTAATAGTAGTAATACAACGATTGGCAGTAATCATACAATACAACGATTGACAGTAATAATACAACGATTGACAGTAATAATACAACGATTGACAGTAATCATACAACGATTGACAGTAATCATACAACGATTGACAGTAATCATACAACGATTGATAGTAATCATACAACGATTGATAGTAATCATACAACGATTGACAGTAATCATACAACGATTGATAGTAATCATACAACGATTGATAGTAATCATACAACGATTGATGGTAATCATACAACGATTGATAGTAATCATACAACGATTGACAGTAATAATACAACGATAAATGCTTGATTTACTGCTTATGATTATATTGAATTTGTATAACATTTATTTTCATCCCTTTGCACTCTTTTTTTTTTCATTTTTATTATTTATCCGTTCATTCCTAATTATTATTTACATTAGAACATGTATTCGTAAATATAAAAAATGAAATTATAAGAAATTATTTCATTATTATTTCTTATTCTTTTACAATTTTTATATCAAACAAGCATAATATATCTCTTTCGTAATATTTTCTAGTTTTTTTTTTTTTTTTTTTTTTTATTGAAAATTATTGAGATCAAAATTATTCAATTAAAAATAAATTTGGCTATATAATTTGAGGAATAGTTCATTTAAATAATATGATAATAATACAAAAATATCGAAAAAATTTTATTGCTTAATTTAATTTTAAGTTCTCTTATATATTCCAAAATTTTGTACTAGTCTCAAATTTATTCAAAATTTGCAAATCAAATTTTTTATCAATCTATTAGTATCACTACCCGTAACTTTGTTAAATTTTTAATTCTATTAGCAATAGAAATAAAAAGCAAAAAAAGAACGATGAGAAATTGATTGTTAGCGATTAAATTTTCTCAGGTGGAAATAACAAAAAAAAGTTTTGATTTTGAAGTTTTTTTTTTTAATCTAAGTTTTTTTCAAAGTTTTCTCAATTTTTTTTTAATTTCAATTCTAAATAAGTGTAATTTACACAAATACACATAAATTATATTTTCATTAATTAAACGAAAATAAAAAATCATAATAGAAGCAAACAGTTTTACCGTTTTGAAGTTTAAAAATTTTTGCAATGCTAATTATCTAAATGTGCGCAATATTCACAAGTATACATGCATTGAATTTTCATCAATTCATACTGCTCTGTGCATATATTTGGATTTGTTCGTAACCAAAATTTACATGAATTTCGAATATCTTTACAATTTGAATTTAAAAATTGTCTACGACTACTATTGTTAAAATGATTAATTGCTAATGATGATGTGGGATGTAATGTTACAGGTGATAATGATGGTGATAATGATAACGATGATAATGTTGTTAGTGATGTTTGATTTGACAATTTTATCTGATTAGTTATCACTGTTTCATAATTTGAATGAATAATTTTAAATGGTTTTACCATATTTGCTATTAGTGAATCATTTCGATTACTGATAGATTTGGTGGTGATATGATCAGTTTGATTTGTGATATTTGATTGTATCAATCCAATTGTATCATTATGAAAATAAATAGTTGAACCGAGCGATCTTGAACGTACCTTAAGTGCTGGAAGTTCAGGTGTAATTTTTATACCAGCTAATATCCGTGAAATTCCATTAGTTTGTTGAATTTTATCTCCTCTATTGATTGCTAAAATTATTTTTATTAATATGAAATGAAAAAATAAAACAAAATCATTCATATTAATACTTTTAATTTTAAAAAAAAAACCTAAATTTTAATATACTATAATAAAAATTAGAGATGAATTTGAATTGAATTATTTGAAACTAAAAAAAAAGAATTTTTGATGAAAAAAAAAAAGAACTAACGTAATTTATGTTTCATAAATTGGCCTAATGCAGAAAGAGATTCACTAGCTATTGATTTTAAATTTAATAAATCATTAGCACGAATTGCATCATCTATAACTGTTCGGACACCTTCCCAAGTTTCAACAGCTGTTGGAATTAGCTCATCCTTATTTAAAATAAATCCATTTAATACTGAAAATTTAAAAATTTCAAAAATGTGATATACAGTAAGATCATAAAATATATGCATAAATAATAATAAATGGTTGAACATTAATAAAATCAAATAGCATAACATTATTTTCTAACATTTTTTTTTTCTTTTAAAAATTTGAACTCCAATGAAGACTTTAAAAAATTATAATCTTATTATGATTTAATTTATGACAAACAAAAAATTTGAAATTTCTACATTTGGAATTTAAAAAAATTAATTAATATTCATCTGCACAATCTATTAACAAAATGATTGACATACATTCAAGTTGAGGTCGAAGCTCTATTAAATAAACAAATTTTACTCCAAGTGCATTTTTAGCCCAATCATCTGAACCACCAGATGCCGGTGCTAGAAATTTACTTAACAATTAAATTTCAATATATCATTTTAACATATTATAAATAACTGAACGTACGAAGTACTAACAAACACTGAAATGGCATTTTTAATTTAATTTAAAACTGAATTTCCTTTTTTAAATGCTAAAAAATTTTTATGTTAAATTTGAAATGAAAGCTTTCTTTTTGCTTTTTTTATACGAATAACTTACCTAAAATATCAGCACCAGTACCAATTCTATACTGTGTTCCATAAACCTTCTTCAACCGACTAACTGCGCGTTTTGCCGTACGTTTCTAAAAAAAATATTATTTTAATTTTTTTTTCTTTTCCAAAAAAAAAAAAATTATAAAAAAAGAAAAGCAAAGAATATAAATAGAGAAGAGAAAAAAAAAAGCATTCAAAAAGTTATCAAAAATTAATTTAAAATAAATGAAATGATTATTCAAGCAGTAAATTATGATAAAATGATAAGTTTAATATCTACGCTAAGTTTATTTACAAACTAAATAATATATATTACAACAAATGATTAATACTTAGTAACTATTTAATTAGCTGATTAGTTAGTTAGTTAATTAATTAATTAATTATTTAACCAATTGTGCATAATTGTCAGGAAATGATTCCTCTTTATGACTGTATGGATGTATCCATAGTTGAGCATACGTATGAAGAGTTATAAATCCATCTAATTTACCTTGCATTTCAGGTGATAATAAGAAATCTCTTACAGCTCTGAAATTTATTCAATTATTAAATTTATTATACAAATTTATTCGTACAAATTTCATTATATAATAATTGCTTTTGTCTCTTTTTTCTCCTAAATTAACTCTTCAAATTTTATAAATTCTAAAATGTCTAAAAGTATTATTTGATTATTAGACCATTTCATTTGTTATCATAATATTCAAATATTATTTAAGAAATTTAAAAAATTCGTGCAAATTTTTTTACACCTAATTAATTTAATAGAGAGAAAAATTAGTACTTGAAGTACTCAAATTATTTTCTCTTTCGTTTTTTAAAAATTTTCTCAAAAAAAATTTTTTTTTACTAGTTTTTCAAAAAAGTTTTTCATTGTAGTATGCAAATTTGAATATTTAATATTACCAATCAATTTTAGTAACATGATAATATTTATTAAATTAAAAGATTGTAATTTTTTTTTTCAAATATAGCCTAAAATTTCGTTTTCTTTTTAATTAGCGTTTTCAAAAAAAAAAAAATGAATTATTTGGCTAATTAATTATGATTAATTAATTCATTCATTATTGGTTAACTTTTATTTGTTATTCAAATATGACCCATTCTATTATAAATTAATTTCATCCATTTCTTTTTTTAAATGTCATCTCGAAGATATTTGTTGTTGTTTTTCTCTCTCTCTCTCTCTTTGTTTAAAAAAAAAAAGGGAAAAAATGATGAACCTTGTTTCTGGTTCGCTAAATGCGCTTTCACCTTGATATAAGTATGAACAAGGATTTTCACTTGAGCCAACTTCTAAAATTTCTTTTTATAAAAAGCAAATTTATCTTTTTTATTTTGTTTTGTTTGTTTTCCTTTTTTTTTTTTTCGTGGCGAAACTAATAAAATATTTGTTATATTATATATCTTAAATTTAATTTTCCCTATTTCCATTTCAGTTTATAACAAAATAAACCAGGTCATTTTGTAGTTTCCAATTTTGTTTTTTTTTTTTTTTCTGTTCCAATAATAACAATTGCAATGGATTAATGAATTCAGTAAATCACAATCATTTTATCATCATCCAACTCTTATTAATCATTTTAAATATCAGTAAGAATTCAATTTCTAATTTTCTTTTCTCAAAAAAGGAAGAGAGATAAAGAGAGAGAATGAAGAAGAAGAAAAAGATCAAAGGAAAGCAAACCAGCCCAGTGAAAATCGAAATTACGATTTAAATCGACGCCGGCACAACATCGACGACCACCCCATGGTGAACGAATACATTTTTGAGGTGAACGATTTTTGCGCCACAATCGAACCTATAGGCAAAAACTTTCGATCAAAAATGCAAAAATGTAAAAATATGTTTTTATTGTATTCAGTATTCTTATAACAATAAGGACTGTGCATTGTAATTTAAGAAAATTCAACTGTATAAGATATGCAATGCGTGTTTCATTGTTGTATGAGCATTATTATATGTGTACACTTATTGGACGACCATTACAATAGTTGTTTGGTTGTTGTATGAGCATTATTATATGTGTACACTTATTGGACGACCATTACAATAGTTGTTTGGTTGTTGTATGAGCATTACTATATGTGTACGCTTATTGGACGAGCATTACAACAGATATATAATTGTTGTATGAACATTATTATATGTATATACTTACTAGATAAGCATTATAGTAGATGTATGTATGATAATTGCATAAGCGTTAGTGTAATATGTATAGTTATTGTCTGGGCATTATTATAAGTAATGTATAGTCACAGGTTATTGTACGAGCAGTATGAGCATTACTGTGTCTATATGTTTCATTATTGTATGAGCATTAGCATATAATATGTGTACACTTATGGTTGTTGTACAAGCATTATAGCAGTGAATAAAAAAGTGTTTACATTTACCTCATGAATATTCATTATAAAAATGAAGATTACAATTATTTTTCTTTCAATTTTTTAATTATTTACATACAAATAAAAATTTGATTAAAAAGTAAATATTGGAATTTAATTAACAAATTTACAATTATTTAAATATTAAACAAAAATAAAAAGAAGAAGAATAAAGAACCTGTGGATTTGGTTTTGATCGTGTATATTCATAGCCATCCGGATTCAAACACGGAAAAATGTAAATATTGATAGATCTTATATACCGTGTTATAACCGGATCTTTTTCAAATCCTGAGACTAACTGAAAAATCCCTCCAAGATCTGTTCTGTGCATCAGTTTTTTCTTTACTTCAAACTAACTTAAATAAATTTAATAAATACTGAAACAAATAATTTTTTCAAATTCAATTTAATTAACTAAAAGATTTCAATTTATTTTTCTAAAGTGTAAAATTTAAAATCTTTTCTTATTTGTTTTACAATTTTGAAAAAAAAATTGAAGAAATAAAATCATAAATAAAATCAAATTCAAAAATTAAAACTTTAAAATAAGTTATATGTTTAAATTTATTTGATACTAGTAATTTAACATGAATAATGGATAAGATTATGCTGTTATCAATGAAACTGATAATACTAATCAACCATTTACTGTTATCCTTACCTTTGAACTTTTATAAAATTATGCATACCTGATTAATAAAATAAAGTGCAGTATGACTTGATGCCCATTCTCTTGCATGAATATTAGCATCAATCCAAAATGCTCGTTTATTGATATCACGTATTGGATAGCCAATCTTGAATAGTAATCAATAATTTTTATCATTTTTATCAATTCATCAAAAATTTATTAATTTTTATCACTTAAGAAATGATTGCTTGTTTTGTTAACATTTTTTTAAAAATTTGTTTAATTATTTTCATGAAAAAGTTTTTTTTTTTTAATTTGTCCACTTTCTCAAAAAAAAAGAAAAAAACAACAAAACAATAAACAATAAACAAAATTATGAATTATTTTTGAAATTTCTTTTAATTTGTCCATTTTCTTAAGAAAAAAAAAAAACAATAAACAATAAACAAAATTATTAATCAATCCTTAAAAATTTTTCCTTTCTTGCTAATACTGCTACTTCTTTTCTCTTTTTTTTTTAAATTGACAAAAATATTTTTATTGTAAAAAAAAAAAAAAAAAAAAAGGAAAGATAAAAATTACTAATTTTTTGTTTAGTTTTACTTAAATTTTTTTTTAATTTAAATTTTCTTCTAAAATTATTGAATAAATAAATTGAACCTTTAATCCTTCAATTGGTGCACCTTCATGTGTTTCACCAATTCGCACAAGTTTTGTTATATGTGGGTAGTAAAATTCGATGGTACGCATATATTTTAACATATCATTGTATGAGCCATAATCACCAAAAGGATATTTAACATTTAATTTACTTACTTTTCTTAATGATTCTTCTGAAATAAAAAAATAAAAACGGCAAAAAATAGAAAATATTATGACTGCAAAAAAAAAAAAAATATTATTTATTTAAAAATTAAATTTTAAATTAACTATTTTTTTATTTAATTTAACAACACAGTAGTAATAGATAATAACAATAATAATAATAGTTGATAATAATAATAAATTAATTTTTAAATTAACTATTTTGACATTCAATTTAACAAATGTGGTGGTAGTTGGCAGTAACAATAATAATAATAATAATAATAATAAAATAATAATAATAATAATAATAATAAATTTGATTTCAAATGTTCATATCAAATTTTTTTCCATATGTGGAAAAAATTTTCATTGTTTTGAAAGATTCTCGTTGGAGAATTAATTGATATTAACGAATTATTAAGGTGCATTAATTAATTTATTAAATAAATAAATGTCAAAGCCTATTAATCAAAGAACGAGTGACGAAAATTAACTTTAATTTCAATAAAAATTTAAATTTAATTTAGATTATTTTATGTGTTTTCATTAAAATTGAATATTAAAAATTTTCATCAATATATTTTGATTAACTAAAAACTTTTTACCTTATTATATAGTTCAATGCTGTTCTTTTTTTTCGTTTTAAAATCATTCTCATATAGCGAAAGATTTGAATTAAAATTAAAATATCATCAAGAATACCCGATTCATCAGCTTTCTCATCCAAAATTGGGTCATCTTTTAAACGAGCAAAAAATGATTCTAATAATGTGTCATGCTGCTTTGCTGTCCTTGTGATATTATTTGCGCCTCTTGGATATATCTCATTCCGCTCGATCAAACTGAAATCATTTATGATTTAATTTAATTTTATCTCATTTACAATATTCGTTTTCTTTTTCAATTAATATATTCACACATTCATTTCATTTATTTTGAAATTGTTTAATTTGAACTGAAACTATAGGAAATCAAATTTACTTTGAAATTGTAAAATATTTTATCAGCGAAGTTTATAATTTAATTTGAAAATGCAAAATCTCGAAATTGATGTAAAATTGTTAAAATATTCAATTCAGAGAAGGTTTAAATTTATTTTCAGTTTTTTTTTTTTTTTTAATTACTTAATGTTTTGTTTGCTTATGAAATAATTATGAATGAAGTTGCTTAATTATTTAAGGCAGCATAAGTGAACAATATAGCGAAAATATTGATTGATCTAGATAATAACTGATCAATCAAATATTGATTGATCTAAAATTGATCAATTAATGTGATAGGTTATCTGTTTCAGTTTGCTTTAAACTTCTGCAATTTGCGCACTTTCATTTCCTGATGCTATTTTGACATTATTCAATTACTCTTTCTTCCTTCTTTTTTTTTTTTTTTTTTGAAATAGACACGTGTACATATACACGTGGAGAGAACAACGTAAGATCACGTCAATAATTTTAATATTAGAATTAATTCATCGTTTTTCTTCTTTCTTACTTTCATTTTCGCTTATTTTATTCTTTCAAGATTTTAAAATAAAGTATCACATTTATCATTTAATGAATAATATTATATATATAATTTAAATTTGTTATTATTAATTTAAGATTGTTGAATTAAATGAATTAAAGTTTTTTTTTTTTTTTTGGAAAATTATCACGAAAAAAATTCCATTCAATATTTACGGTTTGTCCGAATGCAATAATCTATTATTTCAATATATATCGATATTTATTGAAATTATTGTCATCCAGAATGTATTAATTAATTAATTTTAATTTCTAATCAAAAGTGATTCACACTTATTTTCTTTGTTATTTGGTAATTAATTAGTAGTGATTAATTAACTAATTCCATAAACAATTAAATGTTGAAAGAAAAAGGAATGTAAGACCTTCTCTAAAATAACACAATGTTAACCGAAGTTTTTAAATTTTAATTAATTTTAAATTATATCAACACAAATGAAATTTGTTCCTTAGTTCCTTTCCAGAAGTGATAACAGGTTGATAAAGTGATACGATCATTATTTTCCTAAAATAGTGAAAGGCATAACTCTACCTTCTTCAGTGATGATAACAACCAAATGAGATGATAAGATTATTTGAAGCTTTTTTCTATTCTCTTTGATAGTGATAGAGTGATTATTGGTGATAAAAGAGGAGAGGGAAGAGAGGGAAAATGTGAATAGCTTATCAGTAAATAAAATGAAACTTTAAATATTTTATGTTATAAAAAAAAAAAAATAAATTCATAATTAAGTAAATTGAATTTATTGAAAATATTATTGAATGCAATAAAATTTTATCTTTTCTACTCGCTTTTTTTTTGTTTAACAATGCAAAATTAAAATGGCATATTTAATAATTAAATCGCATATTTAGTATATCAGTAATCAGTGTTTTCTTGTGATTACTATTTTCTTTAAAATATATTGAACAGGTAGGAATACTATACTCTAAATATTATTAAATTTATTATCATTTTTCATAAATTAATTTGTAATTACAAAATAATAATAAATCATAATAAAATATAATAAAACATAGCATTTTATTAGTGTTTAACTTTGTTTTGTTAAATTAAATAATAATACCAATAATCAATAATGGAAGTTAATTTTATATATAATTTTTCAAATATTTAAATGCAATTTATTCTAACTAAATAATATAAAGATAAATAAACAAACTCCAGCTGTGTAATTAATTAAAATAATAACTTGATAAAAACTGATAACTAGAAATGCTTTACTGATAATTATTATTGAAGAATTTAATAAATGAAATTATTTTCTGCTTGATTAATTTTTAATAATAAGAATGATGACGTTTATATACAGTTTTTAAAAAAAGAGGGAATGTATGTCATTTTGGCGCAGAAATATTTTGTGATCAAATTTTGGTTGAATGAAAGAAAAAAAAAAGAATTTAAATTCAATTAAACTGAAAAAAAAAAAGAAGAAGAAAATGGACAAAAGAAAAGATGGAATGAATGAAAGAAAATAGACCGGATAAATATTTGGGAGAAATTTTGATTAAAATTTTAATTTCAGGATGACTTGTTTTTTTAGTCCTAAAATGGCCTACTATTTGACATAAATATATGTCATTAACAAAAATGATGAATGGATTTAATATTTTAATCATTCTTCCGAAAGCTTCATTAATGTTATTTATTACTATTATTGTCATTCCATTATTTCTATCTTTTCATTGTTATTATTATTATTATTATTATTATTATTATTATTATTATAATAATTATTACTGTTGTTAATATTATTGTTATTATTATTTCGCCATTATTATTATTATTATTATAAACATTATTGTTAATGTTATTACTGTTATTATATCACTATTATTATTATTATCATTATTATTGTATTATATTATCATTATTATTATTATTATTATTGTTGCTACTATCATTATTATCATTATAATAATATTATTATTATTATTATTATCATTATTATAACATTTATTATTATAAACATTATTGTTAATGTTATTACTGTTATTATCATCGCTATTATTATTATCATTATTATTATTGTATTATATTATCACTATTATTATTATTATTATTACTCTCATTATTATTATTATCATTATTATAACAATAAATATTATTATTATTATTTGTACTTACTAGTAGTGTTTGTTGTTACACTTTAATTAGCCTACTATTACTATTTCTACTCACTTAATGACTTACTTTTTTATTTTCATACTTCCTATTTACTTAATTTTTTTCTCCTTTTTTTCTGATATACCTTTTTTCGCTACTACTACTAATACAAATAATAATGAGTAGTATTTTAATCAGAATAATTTTTCTCGCTGTTACTTTATTTTTACTTTAATTATTATTCTAAATAGTTAACAATTGTTAAAATTAAAATTTCAGTAAAAAAAAAAAAAAAACGAACAAAGTACTTCCCTTACTATTTAAAATTTCATTCAAGTAATTAGGTGAAGAAAAAAAAGATACCAAATATTATTACTAATAATATGAGAGAGTTATTAAAGTTAAATTGTTTTTTTAATTGTTGAAGAGAAATTGTTTCAATTAATTAAAATTTAGGTCTTACCAATTTTACATTGAATGAAAAATAATAGTTAGAATAACAAAAATTAAACTGTTGCTAATTAGTAGAAGTGCTATGATAAATAAAAATAATTAATGCTATTAATTAGCATTAATTAGTCAAAATTAGCAAAATTAATTTTGCCTTCCTAACTCTTTTTATTGCTAAGGATTTGAATAAAATTTAAATCTTTTTTTAATTCGAATAAATTTTAAATCTTTTTTTTTTTTCAATACATCTATAAATTTGCTTTAAATTTTTTCCAAGATTTTTAGGAATAAAATTATTGCACAAAAATTTATTTATACATATTTGTTGTAAAAAAATGTTTCTATTAATATTTATATTTATTATATATAAAAATTGTATGTTTATTAGTGTAATTATAATTTTTGCTATTACAAATTTACTTGTTCCAAATAATATAGCAAAAAGATAATAATGATAATATTGCAGAAATATTGTTGAAAATAATTATTTTTATTTGGCATTGAATTATTTTGTGTAAAATTGATAGCAATTGTTACGATAGTAATTATTTCATTGTAAATTAAATTATCAAATATTCCATATTGCTTTATTTTAAAGCTTTGAGAAGAGAGAACAAAGCAAAAAGCTAATTAATTTTTTTTTTCTTTTTTTAATTAGACTTTTTGATAATTCTCGGAAAAAAAAATATTTGCATTTGCGACATAATTAAGCATTTATTATTGCAAAACTATTTGTTTAGTTTATTAAAATATAATAAAATTTTGTTTTTCTAAATTTTTTTTTTTAGTTTTTGATTAATATTATTTTTTTAATTATATTTTCTTTTTAATTATTTTTTAACTTTTCAACTAATTCATAAAATTTTAATTATGTTATTTAAATTATTTTATTTCAATGTTACATCTTTTATTGATAATATTTTTAAAAAAAATTGAAAAAATGAAAATAGAGGAAATATTAAAATTGAATTTCAGTTCCAAACATATTCTAAAAGCAATTGCAATTTAAAATTTATTAAATTATGAGATGAAATCTGAGCATTGCAAACATTGGATAATATTTAATTGTTTAATTATTTAAATGAATTTTAAAATAAGAATAATAAAAACAAACTTCCTAACATCTGGAATTGTGATAATATATTCGATTCCTTCTTTGCGAAATAATTCTTCAATGATAGCAATCATATTTGGTGGTACCATAATATCCATAAAATTACCCAAACCACTTGTTTCCTTCCAAATATCCAACTTAAATTAAATTTTTCATTAATTTAAGATAAACAAAGAAAATTACTTCCATTTTAGTTTTATTTTGCTCAAAAAAAAAAGAAAAAAATTTGAAAAAATACTAAAAATAATATATTTATTTACAATTTTTATAAAAATAAAAATTATTCATCAAAAAAGTATTTATTACTAAGAAAATTATTTGCATTTATTGACCATTATTGTGTTAGAAATAATAGTAATTTAATTTAACTAATAATAATGATAATAATGATAATAATGATAATAATAATAATAATAATGCGACGTAATTTGTTAAATAAATAATTATTCATATATTATTAATTAGCAAATATTGTTGTCCTAACAATGAAAATTATATTTTAATAATTTATTTAAGGTTGAAAATAATGATATAATCAATCAGTGAAATTGTACAATTTATTTTCCATGTCAAATTTTCATCAAAATTTTAATTTAAAAGTGATATTTCAATTTCTTTTCCTTTTTTTTTTCTTTTCAAATTTTTAGAACAACAACACAAGAAGTTAAGAAAAAAAAAAAAAAAAAACAACTTAAATTTTTTCTGTTTATGTTGTTTATTTTATTTTATTTATTTTATTTTTTAAATGAATTATAATTTGTGACAATGACAATGACAATGATAATAATAATAATAATAATAATAATAATAATAATAATAATAATAATAATAATAATAATAATAATAATAATAATAATAATAATAATAATAACAATAATAATAATAATAACAATAATAATAATAATAATAATAATAATAATAATAATAATACCTCATATTCAACTGCATTATTGCGTAACCATTTGAGAACATCCATTTGAATAATATTTTGTGGTATTATTCGATACACTTTATATGCGCCATTATCAAAATTACTCAAAATAATGTAAATTATTCATTAAAAAATTTAATTAACATTTTTTAATTTTTCAAATAAAATTATTATTTCGATGTTTTTATTTTTATAAACAATAAATTGCTTTCATTTTTCATTTTTTATTTTTATTTTTTATTCATTGTTTCATCAAAATATCGGTCATTTTTTTTTTGCCATTCATTTTTTCTTCTTTCTTTTATTTATTTCAAAAAAACATTTAGCAAAAATTTTTGCTATATTAATGTAAAAAATTTTACACTTTTTAATGATATCACATAATTTATTTATTTTATATTTTTTCCTTTCTTTTTTTTAAAAAAAAAAATTATGCAAATAATTGTTAAATGTTAATTAAATTCTGGTCCTTCTCGTTTGCTTCTTACTTTTTTTTATATTTTTTATTTATTTCGACAATAATATTTCTCGTTTTCAATAATTGTTATTGTCATAAACTGAGCATCATGATTAATAATAATAATAACTATAATTATTGTTATTGTAGTAGTAAGAATAACGATGTCTTGTAATCATAATAAAATAAGAATAGCAAACTAACAACGCCAATAATAGTAATGATAATGACAATGATAATAATGATAAAATAAGAATAATAAAATAATAATATTATTAATAATAATTATTAATTATTATTATTATTATAATTAATCTATCCATTTCTAAAATTTTATCATTTTTGAATTTTTTCCATGCGATATTATATCAAAAATTTTGATATCTGAAATAATTATTTGTTGGAATAATATTAAAATTTTAAAATAATAGTAAAAATCGAACAAAAAAAAAAAGTTATTGCAAACCTTTTAATAGAAATTGTTAAAACTTGTTGTGTAATAAATATTATAATGTAAATTAGAAAGAACATTGAATATTATTGCCTTTGAATTGTACTGAAAAGTAAAAAAAATAAAAATTAAAAAAGTAAAAATAAATTCGACTCGCTGTTAAGATGAAATAATACTAAAGAAGTTCGTAGTAATTGTAATTTAAATTTATAAAATATAATCAAAAAAATAAATTTTTTTTTTTTTTGCTTTCTTCTCATTTATATATTTTACTTATGGAAGTTAATATATGATTCTTTTAGTCTTTCATTTTTGTATAATATTTACTTTTTTTCTAATTTTTTTTTCCATTTTTTTTTAAATTTTTTTTTAAATTTTAAAAATATTGATAAAATTTCAGCATTATTCGTTTTAATAGATTATAATAATAAATACATATTTTTATATATAATAATAATAAATATATATTTTTTTAGAAATAATTGTATAAAAATGAATTATGAATAATTCTTACTTTCTTTTAAAAAGGAAAAAGAGAGAAAATCAGCAACAAATAATACAAATAAAAAAAAAAAAAAAGAATATAATTCATTTAAAAGACAAAAAGAAAGGACTAATTTTTATTAATTTAATAATTGAAAATTTCTTTTTCTTTCTTTCCTTTTCTTTTCTCCTTTTGCTATAAGAAATGAAACACTGAAATATGATTAATTAATTAATTAAAATTGAATTCTATTATTTTAATGAGTGAATGAGTGAATGAATGAATGGAATGAATGAATGAATGGAATGAATGAATGAATGAATGAATGAATGGAATGAATGAATGAATGAATGAATGAATGAATGAGTAAATGAAATTGAACAATGAATGTTTTATTTTAGGATATTAAAATGGCCATTTTATGGATTATAATAAAACGAATAAGAATGTAAATATTTGGAAGAAGAAGGAATCGTTACGAATATATGGAAAAAGAAGGATTAAATGAATGAAATGAGCAATAACAATAATAAATATTTCAATTTTTACAAATAATTTAATAGGGAAAGGAAGGAAAGAAAAGGAATGAAAATGAAACGAAAGGAAAAGAATGAAAAGAAATGAAAAGGATAATAGGAAGGAAAGAAAAGAAAAGAATGAAAATATAATATAAGAAATTGAATATATTATTTATCATTCTTTCAAAAGTGATGAAGTAATAATATAAAAAGAAAAGAATGAAAAAGAATAAAGAGAAAAAGAAAACTAACTGGCATTGATGGTAAAAATAAAAATTAGTTCGAAAATTTCAAAAAACTTAATTTAATTTAATTGAACACATCCATGTGAACGGTTAATATGGACGGAAAATAGTTGTTTGTCTATTAAATATCCAAGTAGTACAATAAGGGAAAAATGGAGGGAGGAGAAAAGGAGGGGAAGTAATAGGAGAGGAGAAAGAGAGGGGGTTGGAGAGGAATTAAAGAATGAAAGATACGATTCATTGATATTATTGGACAGGACAGGATTTACTGAGACGATAAAACATAAATCCTGTTTTTATTCCCACTGTTAACTACTATCATCGTTACAATTGATACAGTTATACTAGTAATAGTAATACTGATAACAGTGATAACTGTTATCAGTAGTATCATAGATGTATTAGTTAATAAATAACATAACAATGTTATTGTTTTTATTTTTGGATTGAATTTACTTAATAGAAGATTTAGAAAATGCAATGATAATTTCAATGAAACTTTTTCTTTTTTTTAGCAATAAATTTCAAGAATACTAAAAATGTATGTATGTATAATGTATTTTATTATTATCACTGATAAAATTTACCAAAAATTATCACCATAAATGCATTGCTATTAAACAATGATCAAAAAAAGGACTATTTATTAATTTAAAATTTATTTATTTAATAAATTAAATTTATTTAATAATGAATTGCAAATTATAATGATAAGAATTAATTTATAACTTTATAGTAATAATAATTTTCATTGAATTATCTTTTTTTTAGCAATAAATTTTCCGAAATATATACTAATCAAAAAGTAAATGAATAAAAGTGATATTAAATGTGCTGCATGAAAATTTTGAACAAAAAGAAAATTAAAATTGTATGAAACTTGTTCAACAACAAATTTCAAATTGAATCGGTAATAAATTGTGAGATTTTTGAGAAAAGATTGTTACAAATCATTATACTTTCAACTTATAATTTTTATTCAACTAAGGATTTGAAAATTATAACTGTATGAATGGAATTACAATTTTATTCAGCAATTAATTTTCTTTTAGCGATAAATTTTTAATAACTATGAAATATACATTTATAATTACTATCATTATTATTAGATGATTGATAACTATCACACAGTTAGATTTATATTTAATTTTAATGATTTAATACATTGATTATTATAAATTTAACTTATTTTAATGCAAATTTTAAGTAAAAGATAATCTTACTTTTTGTCCATTAACTTTTTTTTTTTTATTATATTAAAATAAGAATTTAACAAATTTCATCAACAGCTTCTCTTAAATTAGTATATCAATTCAGCTTTATCTTCATGTTCTTCAATTAATTACATCCAATAGTTTTGTTCTTTTCTCTTTTTTTTTCCTTTCAAATCTTTTTCTTTCTTTGAAATCATTAATTAATCAAATCACGAATAGTACTGATAAAAAACGAAAGATACCTGATGAATCAGATTAATTTTATGCAATTAATGATGCACGGATAAAAAAGGAAATCCGGAATTGAAATCTCTTCAATCACGTTTTCGCCGTATCTTTTTACTATTCTCTTTTATTTAACAAAGAACGAAAGTATTATTTAAGCAGTGAAAGAAAATTTTGTTTAGAAAAAAATGACAATAATTAAGAATGGAAAGAAAGAGATAATCTATGCACTTGAAAATATTTACTTTAATTTGAATGATAACAATGATAATAATATTAATACTAATGCTAACAATAATAGTAATAATACTAATAATAATAGCAATAATAACAGCGATAATATTAATATTAATGCTAAAAATAATAGTAATAACAATAGTGGTTGATAAACAATAACAATAGTGAAAAATAATCATAATTATGATTATAATTACAATTGTGATGCTGACTAATCAAATTGACGTTGTGATTATGATGGTAATGATAATAACAATGATACAAATAATGATAATAATAATAACAATGACGATTAATGATAATATTAATAAGGATGCTAACATTTAATGAAAATAATAACGATAGTAAAAAAATAGAGTAGTGTTGTTGTATAATAATATCTAATAACCAATAAATGATGGAATTGAATATTTTAAGAAATATTAGCATATTTTAAATTTTGTAAATTTGCATATTTAGCTTTCAGTTTAGTTTTCTTTCTTCACTTAATTTATATTTAAAAAAATTTTTTCTTTGTTGTTTTAAGCAAATAGTAGTAAAATAGAATTTTTTTTTTTTTTTTTAGATTCTAAATTTTTAAATAAGGATTTGTTATCTTGGCTTTTTGTAAAAAAAAAAAAAAAAAAAAATCAGCTATTTCTAAAAAAAATTCTTTTATATTTTTCTTCTAAACGAAATGCATTTAAATTAAAATGGATAAATAAATATTTTTTGAGTAAAAATTTGATAACTGTTTTCCAAATATCAGTGCTAACAATAATGAAATGAATATGTTTACATCTGAGATTGAATAAATTTGAAACTTTTTTTTTCAACGAATTTATAGTATTTGATATATCGGTGATTAATCCGGTATTCCGGAAGAGAAATACATATCAACATTATAACACTTCAAAATTATGCAACATTTTATTTGCTACTTCCATAATTACACGGAGTAACTAACCGGATCTAAACGATTAACAAAATTAAATTGAAACATAAATTATTGGTGTAATAAAATTTAAACATAAATAATCCTGGATGTTTTCTTCCTTTCTCTTTTCTCTTTCTCGCATAGTAATTCCCTTAAAATATTGTTTGTATTAGAAACGAGTTTAAATCATTCTTTTACTAATTAATTCCATCTAATTAGTACTCGGACAATTTAGAAATCGAACGATGAAAATTTGTTATCAGAAACATTTGACAGTTTATTTATAACTTTTCATTCGTTTGTGTGACATTTTAACGATTAAATTATATGTTAAAAAAAATAATTTTATTACTTTATTTTATATGAAAAAATTTTTTAATTTGTTTAACTTTTTTAGTTCTTTGTTCTCTTTTTTTTTTTTTTTCTAATTATAAAAATAAAAATTTTTAGGCAAAAAGAAAAAAGAAATTGAAAATTGATTAATTTTTTATTATTTCAAAATTTCATTCCCAAAAGATGCGAACAATATTTTCTGAAATATACTTTTAAAATAATTCCTTTTTTCTTTTTCCACCGTTCCATTCTTCTTCTCCGTAATGTCAATTTTCATTTATACTTTTAACAGAACTTTTTTTTTAAATATTTATTTTTAAATATTATTTTTTTTTATTATTGCTATGATTCAATTTTATTATTATATCGTTTTTTTATTATCATTATTTATCATTATTATCACAATGATTTGTTTTTATTAATTTCATTGTTATTATTAATGAAATATTATTAATTATTAATTTTTATCATCCATATTATTACAATTGTCGTTGTCATTAATACTATTATTATTTTTATTATAATTATTATTATTATTACTAATAAATAATATACACATTAAATCTTATTTGCAACTAATTCCATTTTTTTTTTTTTCATTCATTGCAACATTAATAATTTAATCGATTAAGATTTCTTAAAAATCAAAAATGTATGCATAAAATTCATTTATTGATTATTGATTGATGATCCGGTTGATTGATCAATCGATAATCCAATTGATTGATTGATTGATTGATTGATAATAATTTGAATTTTTAAATAAATTATAAAATGTTTTATGCATGCATTATGGTAGTGAAAGAATTGCTATTGAAAATTATTTCTGAATGATTCATATTTGCATTTATAGAAACTTTAGCAAAAAATTTAAACATTTAAACGATGCAAAAACACCCAAACAAAATTTATTTACAAAACAAACAGACTGGCAGACACAGACACATACTTAAACATACACATACATACATACATACACATACATACAATACATACATACATACACAATTATATGCATAACTTATAATGACAAATTATTCATTGGTTGTTATCGCTTTAGTAACATTTTTGAAATGTATACAAATGACTTTTAAGTGAAATTTTGCAAATTTTGCTTTTTCTCTTTTTGAATTAAAAATTTTTTTATTGCTAAATTATTTTATTTTATTATTGTAATTTTTCATTCATTCTTTTTTTTTTTTTATGAATAAAAGAAAGATATTGAAATTTTTTATTAGATTTTATTTTATTTAGAGCTAATTATTTTTGGTTAATATTTGTATAATAAATCACAAAATTTACTCCCATTTTTCAATAATTTTTTTCTTTTTCATTTTCAGTATTTTATTAACAGAGTTAGGTTAAAATGACAGTTAAATTAAGTTAAAATTTTAATTATGCAATAATTAATTAATGTTATTTTGAATATGTATGATTTAGCTACAAAAATTTTTTTTCGGTTTTTCTTGGATTATTCCAGGAAAGATATATAATTAGCTTGGCTTCAAATGGAATGAAATTTATGATGAAATCAGTCAACTAATATTTTATTCTAATCAATTCATTGGTTTGATAATTTGTATTAAAATTTTAGAGCAAAATTTTCAAAAATGATAAAATTTTCACATTGTTATTAAAATTGTTATAGTAATTTTTAAATATAACTTTTATTTTTTCTTTATAATTTTTAAATCGAAATTTTTTCTAAAAAAAAATAAAAAAATAAAAATAAATAAAGGCTCATTGATTTAAATTAATTTAAATTAGCAAATTTCAAATTTGCTAAATATTGCCATTTTGCAGATGTATACACAAAATGAGGAACAATGGAAGGAAACAGATGATTTGGGCTGTAGCGAATATCGGCGACGTGTGACGCATGAAGATATTTGCAATTGCGACACTTCATTACGATCATCAACGTCGCAAGATTGGCGAAAATCAACAGATTATTGCGCTGGATACAACGATTATGCTACCATACATCCGTCAAATCTTTGGTTTCAAAACGATCTCAGAGGACGCAGTAGACAACGATATTGTCAAAATTCAAATAATTGTTGCAATTTCTGCGATTGCTATTGTCGCAATCAACAACGCTGTCGTAAAAGTCGCAGTGAAGCAATTCATAATCGTCGCAAACGTTGGAATGCTTCTGATTCAATGCATCAACATTCAGGTCAATTTATGAAAAGCTCAGAAAATCTTCGAACAATTCCCATTATTCCAATGCGATATACTCCAACATTATCCACAAAAAAATCATCAAATTTTCAAGCAAATAATACGATCAATCTCGACGATAATTCAATACCAATAACGATGACAACAACGATGACAACAACGACGACAACAACGACGACAACAACGATGACAACAACGACGACAACAATGACGACAACAACAACAACAACACCTTATTATGGGCCATTTTTGGCTCGTAAAATAAGAATTACACCAGCATTAATTGAAAAAACACGATCATTTCATGAATGCTATTCATCGGAACGAAAATATTTCAATGAAATTAAAACAAATGATCAATGTGATAATGTTATCAAACATTTATCAGATGTGACAACAACAAACAACAAATCAGCGATATCTGATGCATCTCCGAATATTATCACCAAACATATATGCAGTGAATTTGATGAAATACCATTATATGCAACAAAAAATTCTAACATTAACAATGAAATGAATTCATTATCAGCAACAAATTTATCACCATTGATAAGCATTGATAAATTTGAGCAAATAACAGGAAGAAATACAATTATGGATGAAAATAATTATGCAAATGGACGTGAAGCATTAATGGAAGGATTGGCATTGCTAAAATATCGAATGAAAGAACACGAAAAACGATTAACATTATCGCATCAAAATAATGAAATGAAATTATATTCAAAAAAAAATTCCGAAATTCGAGAATATTTGCATGAAAAAATGCAACAATTTGCAATAAAAAAAATTGCAAATTATTGGTATAAAAAAACATTTAAAAAAAATGAACAAATGGAAAAATTTTCACAAAAATTACATCCATTAGTGAGCATTGATAAGCAAAAAATTCACACTGATATAATGAAAATAAAATCAAAAAATGTTGAAAATACCACATCTAATGCTATTATTGATAATTCTACTACTGATAATGATAATAATGATGATAGTAATCAATCAGAATTTATCACGGAAATACGTCAAGTACGCGAGAAATTACGAAAAATATCTGATAATTCTACACTGATTGTTGATAATAAAAATGGAACAAAGAATGATATAACATCAATTAATGAAGGTAATTATTTAATTTTCTTTTTCTCACTTTTTTCTAATTTTTTTTTTCAATTTAATTTTTATACTTATTAAATTTAGCATGTAGTAATTTTTTTTTAAATAAATTCATTTCAATTTTGTTATGCTAATATTTTTGAAATCAATTTTTTATTTTTTTTTCTTTGTTGTGACACATTTATTTTAATAAATTATAATAAATTTTATTGCAAAGAAACCTTTTATTATGATAAGTTACATAACTAATATACATAACTAATATAAACCGATGTATTATGCAAATTAATTTTAGAAATATTGAATAAAGTAATTTTACTTTCATAATTTAGCATTTTTTTTTTCGAATAAAATTTCTAAAGTATAAGTGATAAAATAAATTATTTAAATAAATAAACAAATATATTTATTTATTTTTCTTCAATTATTTGCTGTTACATTTAAATATAATTTAATAGCTAATTAAAGTAAAACGTTGATTTTTTTTTTTTTAAAAAATTATAAAATGTTTACTTTCTTTACTCATTTATATTAATCATATCTTTTATACATTGATAGTTTAAAATGATTTTGTAAATTATTAAATGTAAATTATTAAAAATTATATTAAATTTTATTTAAAAAAATTAAAAAAATGTAAATGTAAATTATTATGAACAAAACAATTTTTACATAATATTTATTAAATAAATGAGCTAATTTTCAGAGAGTAAAATTGGCGCAAAAGAATTATCACCAAATTCGCATGAAATTTTCAGTTCAACTTATTCAGCACAACAATCAATTGCTGATAATCGTAGTGGAATTGATAAAAATTTTAAACTATCTAAACTTGCACCAACTTTTCATATTACTGGTAAAACAGAAAGTAAACCACATAATACAGCATTACCAACTGCGCCAACTGCTACCGCAATTATTACTTCAACTTTTGATGATGATGATTCATCGAAATGTAAATTATCATCGATGTACAATGGACGAAAATATGAAACAATCACTGCTGAAGTGTACATTCGAAATCCGATGAATTTGAAACCAACAATAATTAATATTTCAACAAGCGATGAAAAAATGAAGAAACCATATTGGATGGTATTAAATACATATGAGTCACCGCCTGGTACAATTGATCGAAATAATATTTTAAGAAAAACTTTTGATAAAGCAACTGTTCAAGTTGGATCTAATCCATTACAAATGTCAGATGAAAAAGTTGAAAAAATGGATTGTAAATTGGAAACTATAAGTACTTCAGAAATAGGATGTAGTATTAATTCAAATATTAATAATATTCCAGAAATGAAACAGAAATTATCTGAACGAAATAATGCAAAAATTTCAATTTCATTTGATTCTAAATTAGAATCAAAAAGTGATCATATAATTAAAACTGAAATTGATACAACAATTCAATCACAAATTGTCACTAAATGTAAGTATTTCAGTTTGTTTGACGAAATTATAATTTAAAAGTATTATTTGAATTGTAGAAAAAAACTTAATAATGTTAATTTAAAAATTGTTAAAAAAATTTTCATATAACTTATTAATATTATCATAAAATCAAGTAAAAAAAAAAAATTTTTTTTTTGAAATATTATTAAATTTTTTTCTTTTTCCAGAGAGACATTTTTTTTTTATTGTTTAATATATTTGTGAAATCTTTAAGGCACAAAAAAATATTTAAAAAATTTATTTGATAAAAAAATTTTGATCATTTTATATTGCAAATGGTTTTTTTTTTTTTTTTTTTTCACTACGACAAATGCGCTTAATTTTTAGCAAAAATCTCAGATATCAAGGATGCTTTATCGAATGATTTTCAAACTTTAGTAACAATGAAAACGGATGAAATTTGCAAAACTCACCATACCATAGCATTTGAACCACTGATAACAACTGATAATGAACCAATGGAAATTTGTCGACGTGGTTTTTCAATATTTTTCATCTTTCATTACAATAACAAACCGCAGATTTTGCATAATCTTTCAATTCTTTTTAAAAATGGTATCCACTGATTTAATCACTATTTAATTTTTTCACTACTCATTTTTAGAATTAATTTAATTATTAAAATATTAATCTTTTTATGACTATTAAGTGAAAATTTATACCAATAAATATTTCACAATTTTTTTCAAAATTTTCTTATTTTTTTTAACAAGTTCTTAATCATCAAGAATTGATAATGTTTTAATTGATGATAAAAATCATTTATTGGAAATTGCATGAATAATAATTTTAAAATATTTTATATAATTCAATCTACTTCAAATTTTTTTTTTTTTTTGGTAAGACTAAAAACTAAAAAATTAGCTAAAAAATTTCCATTGATATTAGATTTTAATTGGTGTCAAAAACTCTTGACTAGGATTAAAATTTAAAAAGTATTATTGAAATTTACAAAGTTTTCGTTGGTATCAGTGTTCTGTGAGAGATTCAAATCAACGCGTCTAATCATTTCAATTTTATGATCAATCAATAATTGCTATCATTCAATATTTTATGCTATAAAATTTATGAATGATACAAATTATGTTGCAGTAATTTTAATTTTGTTACTGATATCATTTTGATAATTCATTTTTGAAGAAATTTCAGAATTGGCAAATTATAAAACAACAATTTCGGCAGTAAAAAATAATTATTCAACTGATCAATCAATAAAAAATTGGCATGTAACATATAAAATTTTAACAATAGATGATGCATTATTTGAAGTGAATTTTATTTTGTTTTAATTTTTATAAATTTTATTTTTTATTCAATAATAGTAAAAGGTACGAATTATTGATTTAATTTCAACAAAAATTTTTACCTTTTCATTATTATTATTTTTTGATTTTTTCTATTTTTTTTTTTTTTTTCGTTTTTAAATTATTTGTTTTGTTTTTTTGTTTACAATCAAAAGTTTTATCAAAATGATAAATATTTAGATTATAATTCCATCTAATATTCCGATTGGTCTTTGGCAAATGATTATGCAAAATAATGAAAGATCAAATTTATACACTATGAATTTATGCATTCTGTTTAACCCATGGCATAAAGGTTTAAATTTGTGGTTTTTTTTTTTTTCATTTATTTTTTGTATATTTATAATTAATCAATAATTTTTAACATTTCAATATTTTTTATTATGCTGATTAAATTTGTAAACAAAAATTGTTTATTTATTTATTTTTTATAGATGACGAAACATATTATCCAAATGAAATAGAATTAAATGAATATGTACTGAATGAATTAGCTGTGATGCGCAAATGGAATCAAAGGGATGCATGGCTTTTAGGGCAATTTAGCGCCATTTGCATAAATACAATATTGCAATTGTTGGAATTATGCGTGAAAAATAATTTGTTAAAAATGGATGAACTTGGATCAGCTTTTGCAATTGCAAAAGCAATTGCTATAGCTGTAAGTGTAAAGTTTATATAAGTTTAATAGATTAGTAATTTCATTGTTAAATTAGCTTAAAATAAAATTGAAATTAGCAATCAGATTGAAATTAGAAATGTTAAATTATATAATTTTATTTATTTTCAGATTAATTTATTATTTTCCTTATTTTGTTAAATTTTTAAATCTTTTAATTTCAATTAAAATTTTACAGATTAGTAAATTTATATTAGAAGTTAAATGGAGTGATTTTCAACAAAACGATTGTAAAAATGAAATTATACCGAGTGCATGGAGTGGCAGTAAAGAAATTATGGCATTGTATAAGAGATTTGGTGTTAAAATAGGTTACGGACAGTCATGGTGTTACGCTGGTCTTCTTACGTCAAGTACGCTTATTTATTTTAACTTTTATTTTTTTTTTTTTTTGAATTTTCTTTAGTATATTTTAAGCTAAAGTTTAGAGAAAATTGTTTTGTTTAGTTATTTCAATTTTTTTTCTTTTTTTTTATTTGAAAAAAAAGTGAAAAATTATAGTTTGCCGATGTGTTGGAATTCCATGTCGTATGGTAACGATTTATAATTTTGCGCCACAAATTGATAATGACGCATTGATAAAATTAGATATTATTGATGATTTGCTTGCTGAAAAAAGCAAAGATACCGTATGTTTTTCATTGATGCTTTTATCATAGTTATGATAAGATGATAATGTGATTCTGCAGTGTGATACAGTAATTTTATAATTTATGCTGGGATTTCATTTTATAGCAAAAAACACAATTTTGTGATACTTAATTAATGTGACACTAACGTGACATTACAATATGCCTAAATTAGCTTTAATTAATTTATTATCGACTAAATTAATTAATTACAAATTGTTTTAAGTAATACTTCTATTATAAATGAGTGGTAATTAATAAAGCATATATTAGCATAAATTGCATTAATATTTTTAGTAATGGCAAGGTAAAAGTTAATTAGTACAGCAAAAAGTAGAAATGAAATTTTAAAAAGTTTTGTCAAATACTAAATTTTCCCAAAAATTATTATAAAAATGCTTACGATATGATAATTAAGAATGATAATGAATTATTATCAATTAGAAAGAAGAAAGTTTGTTTGTTTTCCTTAATTATTTCATTAATAATTAGACAAAAAAACACAAACTTAGATATTCTCCCAATAATTAATTTTCAAAATAAACTGCAATAAATTATAATTTGATGACAAATTAGCATTTAAATTATTAGAAATTATATAATTGACAAATTTTAAATTTAATAAACAATTCATTTTGTTTTTTTTTTTAAATTTTCATCATTTAAATACAGATATGGCATTATCATATTTGGAATGAATTATGGCTTCAATCAAAAATTCTGAGAAATGATTACAATAAAAGTGAATGGCATATTTGTGATGCTACTCCAATTATAAAAGGTTGTTTACAAAAAAAAAAAAAAAGTTATTTTTAAAATTTAACTTTATTCTTCTTTTTTTATTTTTATTTTAGCATCTCAATTTAGCATCTTATTTTGATTAGATATTAGTTAAATATATGGTTAAATTCAAATTTCGTTTAAATTATCAAAAATTCCAACTGTATATTAAAATTTTATTTAAATTTCAAAAAAATTTTGTAATCTTTTTTTTTTTTAATTTCATATTTTATTTTATTGAGGAGAATAACAAAGTCAGCAAAGGTCATTTAGCTAAGTTGAATTTCAGAGGAGGATAGTTTATTAAATGAAAGGAAAGGATTATTTCCGGTACGACAAATTAAAACGGATAGTGAAAAAATAGAACCGGAAAATGAGAATGAATATTACGGAAAGCAACTTTATAAAATGCTAAATGCTACTATTATTTGCAATTATTACTATCGTGATCCAATAACATATAATCCAATTTTTGCATATTCTAAAAAACATGGAAAGAAGTAAAATTTTTAATTGTTAATTTTATTCTTTAATTTTTTCATTTTGAATATGTTTAAATAATTTTTTTAAAAAAAATGAATACATTTTAAAATTACTAAATCTGAAGTATTTCTGAAAAAAAAAATGGCTCTAAAATATTAAAACAAATTAATTTTTTGCAACAATTTTCAAAATGATAACACTAAAATAATCAAATTATGGTAATATTAATTATTAATTAGGATAAAAGTTATAATAATTTTTGATTATTTTAATTATTTGATAATAATAGTAGTGCTGTATAAGTATGGGAGAAAAAACAATTATAAAAAAAGTAATAATAAAGAATGAAATTAAATTTATTTTAAAGTTAGATGAAGTTCACTTTCATTTATTCCCAATAAAAGGAAAAAAAACTCAAAAAAAATTTCGTTTTTGTAGAAAAAAAAAAAAACTTTAAAATAATTTTAAAATTGAAGAGAAAAAAAAAGTAATTTATAATAAAATTGATTACTTCTTCTGTTTCTTGTTCTTTTTTACTTTAAATTATTTTTTATTTTATTTTGTATAAAACTTTTAAAGTGACAAAAAACAAAAGTAAAACTTACTTATTTGATTAATTTATTTACTTATATATTTGCTTATTGTATGTACTTCAATAATTTATTCAGGATATCAAATAAACTTATCATAGCAACGATAACCAGTGATACTGATGTGACAATGAATTACAAAGGATCATTGGAAGATAGTAATTGTCACCAAACTGAGTACTTATCGTTGTTAAATGATGAAGGAATTGGCAGTATTGAATTAAATTTAAGCAATTTTCAAAATGTTAGTTTTTGATTAGAATTGATAATGACGAGACGTTAGAATTGTTGACAATTTTTCTTAAAATATTTTGAAAAATAATATTTAAATACTATTAATAATTTTATTTATTCCTATTAAAACAAACTTTTAAGAGGATTTTTTCAATTTTATTTATTCCCAATGAAGAAGCAGAAAAAAAAAAAATATTTTAATCACAAATTTTGCTGAAAAATTATTGCTACGTTATTATTATTATTATTATTATTATTACTGTTACTACTACTATTATTATTATTACTATTATTATTATTATTATTGTTATTATTATTATTACTACTATTATTATTGTTATTATTATTACTACTATTATTATTATTATTACTACTACTACTACTATTATTATTACTATTATTATTATTATTATACTATATTATTATTATTAGTACTATTATTTTTATTATTAGTACTACTATTATTATTATTATTATTAATACTACTATTTTTATTATTAGTACTATTATTATTATTATTAATTATTATAGATCAACTATCAGTTTAATAAAAAAATAATAATATTAGAAACAAATAAGCTCAAATTTACTTAATTTTTAGTTCGAAAAAGAGTTGAAAAGATTGATTTATAAATTATATGGTTTCTTCATTTTTATCACTTTTCTTTTCTCCCTCTCATACATTTCTTAATTATCCTATTTAATTATCACTTATCAAAGAGCGCTTTATAGATCAGTATTGATAAGCCAATTAATGGATCATTAACAGTCATAAACAAATCACAAATTGAACAAACAGTTAATGCACAAATCCAGGTTGACTTAACAAGTTATACAGGATTGGTTATCACACATGTTTATCTCTACGAGAAAATGCTTATCATCCGATCAAAGCAATGTATGATAATCATATGATAATTATTTCCTTTTTTGCTTTAATTATTTTTATTCCTATGAAATTTTATTAATAAAATTAAATTTTTAATGTATTTTTATTATATTGTATTAAATTAATGAGGAAACAAATGATAAATAATTTAATAGCAATAATTTCATAAATTAATAACACTGTGAAGATAACAACGAAACTGAAAACAATTTTGATAATTAAAAATTTTAAGTTATCCTTTTTATTTAATTAAAATTTACTTTTGAATTATTAATTTGTTAACTTATTTAGGCCAAAAGATAGAATTTAGTATTCCATCTGAATACTTTTGTAATATGTTTATGGAAGATTGGAATATTTCTATAATAGCATTTGCAAAAGTTTTACATAACAATGAACGATTTTATGCTCAACAAATACTTACACTTCTCAAACCTATATTATCAATCAAAAAAGTTAGTTTTTTTTTTTTTCTTTTTAAATCATTTAAAATAAAATTTTTATAAAAATGAGATAATAATATAATAAAAAATTTGCTTATCAATAAAATTTATAGTTTGTCAGCATGACTTAAGTTTTAAATACTTTTAAAAATTAATGAATTAAAATGTAAAATTATTAGATTAGTAAATTTTAAATTTGCCCTTTACCAATAAATTATTTTTCATTATTTGTAATTATTAATGCAATTTAGCAAAAGTTTTCTTTCCATTTTTTTTTTTTTTTTTTGTTATTTTTTTTACAGAACAAATTTTAGCTTTTACAAAAAGATTTGATATCAACGAGTACTGATAAAGAAGAGTTTCAAATTTCGTTAGCAAATTCATTAAATATTTTATTAACAAATTGTGAAATTAGAATTGATGGTACCGGATTGACATTTAATGATTCACCAATATTATGTGGGTTAGTCATATATTATTTAATTTTAGAATTTAAATACTTTGAAGAATGATAAAGGAGTAATTATCAAATGTTAGAAAAAGACTATTAAGTGAGTAAGAAATTTAAATATTTCAGTGAAATCATTCCTGAAATATTTATTGTTTAAAATATTTTGATGATTATTGTTGATAGAACAAAATAAATTATTGATAGAGTAACGTAAATTATCGACAGAGTAAAATAAATTATTGATAAAGCAAAATAAATTATTATGGAGTAAAATAAATTATTATGGAGTAAAATAAATTATTGAATGAATAAAATAAATTATTGATAGAACAAAATAAATTATTGATAGAGTAAAATAGATATTGATAGAGCAAAATAAATATATAGAGTAAAATAAATTATTGAAGAGTAAAATAAATTATTGAAAGAGTAAAATAAATTATTGATAGAGTAAAATAAATTATTGATAGAGCAAAATAAATTATTGATAGCGCAAAATAAATTAATATCCCAATGCATTATTTTAGATATTAATTTATATTATCAAATAATTCTATCTTCTTCTTAGCTTATAATAACTAAAATTATTTATCAATTAAATTCCTAAATAATTTTTGTGATCAAAAAAGAAATAAAATAAAGAAATTTTTAGATCTATTGAAGCTTACAATACTTTAACGATTACAACAAGCGCAATAAGAAAGACAAATTTAAATGAAAGGAAAATTGTTGCTGTATTTAATTGTGATCAATTAAAAAATGTTCGCACTTATCTTATTAGTAATTAATTTTAATTAACATATATTTTAAGTTTTATTTGTCAGAAAATTTTTTGAAATTTTTAATCAATCATAATAAGAATTTATTGTAATCAAAACTCTATAAAAAATAGTTAAATAAAAAAAAAAAAAACGAAAAATCATGAAAAGTGAAAAAAAAAAAAAAAAAACGAATGAAATTCTTTATGTAAGCAAATATTATCGGAAATATCAGAAAAAAATCAAAATTAAAATTTATGAATTAATAATTAGTAATTGTTTTTTTTTTTTTTTTTTTTTTTCATTAACAGTTTTGCATTAATTAATTTTTATCTGAAAAAAAATTGAAATAACATATGCATTGCTTTAATCTCTGTACTTATAATTTTCAAAATCAAAATCAATACTATCATTTTTTTTATAAATAATATTCTTAAAAATTAGAATTAATCTTAAATTAATAGAATTATCATCTTTTCTTGTATTTTACTGATAATAAGAATTATCAATAATTTTTTCAATTTATAATAAAATAATCATAGAATTTCTCTCTTAATATTTTCACTATTAAAATTTCATGCATTTAATTTTTAAAAAAATATTAAATTCTCAAACAGATAAACTGTCCCGAAGTGTGCATATTTTTTCTATATTAAATAAAAATTTCAATTTTTTTTTTTGCTATCTATTTTTTATTAAATTTTTAATTTAAGCATGAAAAAATTTTTGTGAATAATTTATAAAACAAACATTAAAATTTTTTTAAGATAATTTATAACCAAACAATAATAAAAGTAAGCAAAAATTTTGATATCTTACATTATTGAGTAATAAATAAGAATGCAAATCTCATCGATTCTCTCACATTCAAATATTGTAAATAAAAAAAATAAAGGAGAAAATAGTTTTAAAAAAAGAAATTTCAAAAATTTTTTATCAAATTATTTCATTTAAATTCACTATTTAATTACTTCAATTTGTAAATGAAAAAAAAGAGAAAATAGTTTTAAAGGAAGAAATTTCAAAAATTTTTTATCAAATTATTTCATTTAAATTGCACTTATTGTAAATTATCAATATTGTGAAACATTATTATTAAATTAAAAAATTAAAAAAAGAAATGATATAAATCACAAAGTTTTTAATTTTTCAACTATTTAATATTTCAGTCTACCGCTACATCTTTTTTTTTTTCTTAGATGCACACAATTTCAAAGACATAAGTAAGCAAAACTACTCTGATTATGTCTTATCATATCATATCAGTTATTTGTAGTTAATATCATTCCTCTATTGTATTATATTCGATAGATTTGTCGTTATTATTATTTTTGTTTTTTTTTTGTTTTTGTCATTTTAATGGCACATTTGTCGCATGCATGAAAATTAATTATGTTTATTAATTAATGTACATTTTTTATAAATTATTGCTATCTTTCATTTTTTCTTATTAATTAGATCAAAGAAATTGAAGCAAACATTATTGATTTGTATACGTTCCGATATTTGTTGATCACTTGGCGCTTTTATCAGTAGCTTTTTCTTTTGAATCTGTAAAAAATTACATTCGAAAAAAAAAAAAAAAAAAAAGAAACGAAAAGAAAATGTGTAATTAATATGAATTCTTGCTAAAACTATTTTTTTTTTCTAAATTTTGTCGATAATTTTTAAGAATTTTTCATTTTTTTGTTTTCTTTTTTTTTTTTCTCTCAAAATATTTTTAAATCATTGATTGTTTATAATTTAATTTCTGTTATATATTGCAAATGAAAAAATAATAAAGAAATCAGTATTTACATTATTTGTTATGCTATTTATTTTAACAACTAAACGTTTAATAATTATTGTCATCGAAGATTTATATAATATTTTATTATTATTATTACTTTTAATATATTTTAATTATTTTAATCAAAAATTCTGATTTTAATACTTTTTTTTTGTAAAATACGAATTTTTTCTTTTTATAAAATTTTAATTTTTACAGGAAAAAATAATTATTAGAAATTGAAAAAATATTATGGAAGTAAATTTAATAAAACAAAAAAAAAAAAAGCAAAATATTTAAATTATTTAATGAACAACGGTAAATTGCCTTGTCTATTTGAATAATCTCGAATTGAAATTGTCTCCGATCTGTCACAAAATATACATTGTTTTATATTAAGCCAAATTTTATCAGATACTGCATAAATCTATAATTATTGATAAAAATTATTTTAAAAAGTAAATTAAAAAACATGTAATTATTGATAAAATCATTTTAAAATAATTTTTAAAATAAATTTTATTTTGTTTTTTCTTTTTTTTTAAAGTAATTAAATAAAATAAAATTTATTTACCAAAATTGGTGCTAGTAACGGATACATCAAACGTAACCAATTTAGTATTATATAAGCATCTTGTGGTACCATAAAAGCATTATCACTTGTCAGTAACACATTACTATTTCGTATCTAAAATTAATAACTTGAATACATCATTTTTACTCATTTATAATCAGTAATTGAGAAATGAATGATTCAATTACAATTTAATGACATTTATCTATCATAAAATAAGCAAATAAATAAATAAATAATCCATTTGTATATCATTTATTTATTTGATTTTGTTGTTATCACTTTAATACATTTTAATCATTTTAATCAGAAATTCTTAAATTTTTTGCAAATTTCAAAAATTTTCAGTTTAGTTTTATTTTTTGAAATTTTAACTTTTTATGCTAAAATTTACACTTTATACTAAAAAATTAATGTTTTTTTTTTTTTAAAATAATTATTAAAGTTGAAAAATATTATGAAAATAAATATTTACTAGAAAAAAATAGAAAAGACAAAACGAGAAAAAATTATTTAAATTATTCAATATACTCAAAAAAAAAAAAATCTTTTTTTTTTTTTTAAAGCAAAAAGAAAAGTTATTAAGGTTAGAAAAAACAATAAATAAAATAGAAATGATAAAATTTTATTTAAATTCAAAAATAAAATATACATGGGCAAAATTTACTACAAATATAACATTTCATTATGCAATTAAAATTCTAAAATATCAATAAAAAATTTGAGAAATACCTGTATGAAAAAATTTAGCATAATATATGGTCCATCAAATATGATAAATAAAATGATAAGAATTAGAATAAGTTTTAAATGATTCAAGTAATCATAATCAAACGAAGAATTATGTCTATTGAATGATAAATTTTCATTTGATCTGATCGATACTAATTGATCTTTGTATTGATTATTACGCGACAAAAGCGCTGCCAGACAAATTAGTATAATAATGAGACAAATGCTATAAATCAATATGCATACAATTGGATATAAAATTGGAACATTCCTGCAATTTTACATTTATATCAAATAATTGAGCTCATTTGTTTATTGTTTATTGTTTATTTTATTTTTATTTTTCATTTTTATTTTTTCCTTTTCCTTTTAATAATCATAATATATGCTGCTATTAAGTAATTTAAATGAATTAAAATAATTTCAATTTTCATTTGTAAACTTTTGAAGAAACAAAAATTTGAAACAGTTCTAATTTAAACTATAGATCTACATCAATTTCAAAATATTCAAAATTTTGTTGCAACAAAAATTTCAATTAATTCGATGATATATTTTAATCATAATTTTTGATATATTTTATAAATGATGATTTTGATAATAGTAGAAATTATTTTGCAACTGTCAAATTAGTCGAGAAATGCAACAGATAGACTGTTATTTAAGCTTTTTTTATTTTTTTTTTTTTTTTTTAATATTTTACAAACATTTTTCTTAATTCAGTAGCAAATAAAATGACTGATCTGATTTAATTGAACTGATCTGATTTGTCAGTCAAATGTCAATTTCAAGGCTAAAATGTCATTGTTGAAATGTTTATAATTATTACTTGAAGTTCCCATTTTGTCCTCTAAAATTTGAAAACTTTCTTCTATCCCTCATTTTCATCTTTCTAATATCAATTCAAGAAACGATATCTGCTAGATTCATAAAAGCTTAAAATATTACTTATTGTTCTATTGTCTCCTAATAAAGACTAAAAATCTCAAGTATATGTCTGCTAAATGTTGAATTCATGTGATTTGATTGGCGGTAATGTCTTATAGTGCGCAAAGAATACGATACTGCAGCAAGGCTTAAGTACTTGAAATATTTTAATGTAGTATTAGTTTAAAAAGTCTACAAGCAAATATCGTTTGCTATTATTATTATTTTTTTTTTTGTTATATTAAAATTATAAATTAATTCAAAAAGAAGCTAACTTGTCAATGTTGCAATTATACCAAAATTCAGAGGGTATGACAGGTATGTGATGTGTAAATATAGGTAAAACTAAACAAATACTTATTAGCCATAAAACAATAATAAATGTTAGTATTCGCCAATTGTTAAATATAAATTGATTTGGAAAGTATGATAGAATAGCTTGTACAATAGCCATTAGCATTATACTCATTAATAATTCCATATCAACAAACTGTAAATTCATATTATTGATATTTTGATATGAACTGATAATAATTATCCAAATAAACACACAGGTATATTTATAGGTAATTATATTTTAGTATTTGTTATGTCAGTTCAACTAGAAATGATTTGTAGTAAATATAGGTGATCTAGAGATACAATAGTTCAAATATTTAAACAATGTAATGCATCAAAATAACTTTGGAAATTTTTAAAAACACTAAAAAAAAAATTTTTTTTTAAAATTTAAAATACTGAAATTTAATAATGCTGAAATATTTTAAAAAAAAATTTGAAGCAATTAAAAGTGATATAGCAGTAAAAATTATATATTATTATTATTATTTTATTTCTCTTATCATATTACTATATTGTATTTAATTGGATTATATTACTGCATTCTACTGCATAATAATAATTTAATTTTAACTTTTTTTCGAAATATTTGGGTTAGTGACAATTGTTATGTAATGATTAACGAAAATGAATCAATAATAGATGAGTATGATGAAAAATTAAGTTCTATTCTCACTATCAAATTTACAA